TCCTGGGGAAGTTGGTTTATAACCTTTTAGAAGAATTAGAGGATTTGCGGCTGCCTGACCCCAGCCTAGTGTGGTAGGTAGGCCTTGGGAAATGGAGCATAAGGGCAAAGACTCCAAGCCTTGAGCCATCATTCCCCTTTCCCCCTTCTAGTGTAGTGCGGAGGCTCGGGCAGCATGACGACGGAGACCTTCGTTAAAGATATCAAGCCTGGGCTCAAGAATCTGAACCTCATCTTCATTGTGCTGGAGACAGGTGGCTATTCTGGGATGGTGGGACCCCTGCGCGGGGGTTCTCAGGGTTGGGGAGGGGGCAGGAGGGGAAGAGCATCACCTCCTCTGTTAACTAGCTACCGGGATGTCAGGGTGCACCCCAAAACGCTGCTTACGCGGAATCTCCTACACCCTGGCCTGGAGAGTTGTAGTCGAGTGCAGAGTAGATGGAACTCGCCAGACCCAAGCCTCCAGCGCCACTCAGGCCTCTTTCCACTCAGTGCCCTCTCCATGGTGCTGTCCCTCCACTCCCCCTCACCCACCCATATCTAGATCTCATCCCTCTGACCCTCTCTTCACCTCCACCCCAACATTTGTCTGTTCCCTCCAGGCCGAGTGACCAAGACAAAGGACGGGCACGAGGTTCGGACCTGCAAGGTGGCCGACAAAACGGGCAGCATCAATATCTCTGTGTGGGACGACGTGGGCAACCTGATCCAGCCTGGAGACATTATTCGGCTCACCAAAGGGTAACTCCTGGTTATTCCTGGCTATCCAAGGCTAGTAACAGTCAAGGGGGTTAGAGTTAACAGTCCCTATAACTCTTCTGAGTACTCTGAGTCCTACTTTTCGTGCCCCCACAGGTACGCTTCAGTATTCAAAGGTTGTCTGACACTATACACTGGACGTGGGGGTGATCTTCAAAAGATTGGAGAGTAAGTGTTTTGGGGATTGGGATGCAGAAGCACCAGCCAGCATAAGGGCATATAGTCCATGTCTTGTATCTAGACCTTTCTCAGGCCTCCAGAGGCTGGGTCTGAGGCTTCAACTAATTTCTCCCTTTGCAGATTCTGTATGGTTTATTCTGAGGTTCCTAACTTCAGTGAGCCAAACCCAGAGTACAGTGCCCAGCAGGCACCCAATAAGACGGTGAGTCCCATGGCCTTGGTATGGGGAAGGAGGGTATGTCCAGCCAAGAAGCATGGTAGGGAACAATGTCTGAGTATTTAATTTGTGCCTTCAGGTCCAGAACGACAGCAGCCCTACGGCTCCCCAGCCTACCACCGGACCCCCTGCCGTTTCTCCAGGTAAACCTTTCCCTTCCATCCGCTGGTTCTCTCCCTAGCATGGAAAGATGCATTGCCCTCATCCTTTTTCCCAATTTGTCTTCTTTCCATGTATCCCCTTCCACCTAATTCTCCCAGTTCTTTTGCAAGTCCTTGTGGGGAAAAGATTTGGGGACCTGTTTCTGTCACTGATAGAGCTCTGGTACTCTTTCGCCACTACCACTCAAGGACACAAATGAAAACAGTTTATCCAACAAGACTGCACTCCTTTATTCAAGCTTGTTTCTCTCTGCTTCTTCTCTGGCAGGTCCTTGCCCTTTCCCCCTTGTCCTTTTGACTCATTACATGGCTCTAACATGGATGTATATGACTTAACATGCAGTCTACACTGTACAGAGTTAGGGCACCAAGTAGTTCCCTTTGGGCAGTCACCACTCTTCTTGAAACTAAAGACCCTTCTTCTAGCCTGTGGACCTCAGGATTATGATTCTTCCATCTGATATACTCCAAGACCCTGTTTTTTGGTCTCTTGCTTTTGATTAGAATCACCCACCACCACCACCTCCTTTGTCCCCTGGCTTCTCTTTAGGAACTGGGTTTCACTGGTCTTTTTCTCCTTCTGGGTAATCTCCCGGCTGAGCCTACTACTGCCTGGGTGTTCGACTCCTCTTGCCTCTGATCTGTGTCTTAGGTTTCTCCCTGTGACACTAGGCTTCAGGCTGCTTCTACCCTTGCTCAGTCTGTGTCTACATCCCTAGTTACCATGGTTTTCAGAATTGTTTGTGTCAGAACCACTGGGATCATGGTTTTTTTGGAAACACCATGAAATAACATTTAATTCCACCATAAAAATCAGCATCCATATTTTCACTGGAAAATATGACTGTTACATATGTCCAGGTCTCCATAACTATAACTTATAAAAAGTATTTTAAATAAGGTACATTTAAGCCTGTTTGGCCCTAATGCTCATTTGCCAGATGTTTGTTCACTTTGTTATCTGCTAACAGGTGCAAAAGTCTTAATAAAAAGCATGTCTGGCGTAAGAACTTAACATTAACTCCCTATGTACTCCTAACTTTTTCTGTGAATTGGGGAAAAGGCATTATTTTTCCATTCTGGCAACAGATATCTTAGTCTGGTGGAACAGCCTGGGTCCAAGCAGATATGTGGTTTAAGAATCACCAGCCTATGACTTCTACCCCTTTTAGGGCTCATAGTGCCGTCTGTATAAGAGAGGCAGGTCTCTGTCTTCATTTGACAAACATAGATGAGGAATGCCAAGGAATAAAAACACAGCACCTGTCTTTAGGAGCTTGTAGTCTATAAAGGAGATGGTCCTACAGATGACACACTGGTAGGGGCAAGGGTAGTGATGTGCACAGTTGTAGGAGCTCAAGGAAATCATCTCACACACCTGGCTCCAATCAAACATGTGAAATATACACCAAAATGTTACTTATCATTTTGAGGGTGTGCGTAATATTTTTTTTCCCATTCCTATCTTTATTTTCCAAAATGAAAATGTATGTATCATCGTGATACCCACCACACTTTCCTTTTTTAAAGCTGTTTCTTACATAACACAGAAGCTTTGGGTCCTTCCCCTTCCCATGCTTCTCCAGTTTTACAAAGACTTTCGACAAAGGGGCATTTTGTCAGAGGTCCTTAAGCCTAGAGCTAAACAGCGAATGCTAGGTCTGACCTCCATGATACAAAGGTGAATAGAAGAGAAGAATATCACACTAGGATTCACATAGCAACTTCCCAAATGATTGAGTCTTCTCAGGGCTCCATTTGTACAACCCCTGATCTTTGCAACTGGTCCAGCTGGCCTGAATGTGCCGCTGTGCTTGATGAAGACTGTGCTACTCTCTAGGGCACAGAGGGAGGCCTTGGGGATGGACCTCTCTCCTACCTTAGTTTTCTAATTCCTGTGTTTCTTCCCCTTATCCCACTACTAGCCTCTGAGACCCAGAACGGGAATGGACTGAGTGCCCCACCAGGTCCTGGTGGTGGCCCGCACCCGCCTCACGCACCCTCGCACCCTCCCAGCACCCGAATTACCCGAAGCCAGCCCAACCACACAGCTGCCGGCCCTCCTGGCCCCTCCAGCAACCCTGTCAGTAACGGCAAAGAGACCCGGAGGAGCAGCAAGAGATAGCAAGACGTTCTTCCTCCCTTCCCACCACCCACTATAGCCCAAGTGTCTCCTAGAACACAGCCTTTTACTAGGCTGCTGGCTTGTGGGGGGTGGGAGTGGATAGGCAGTAGTATTTTATCCACTGAATTTCACTGGAGGGGTGGTGAGCAGTTGGCCTTATCCACCCTAAGCCCATGCTCCCTGCCTTACCCAGCTAGATCTGCCTATCCCTGGGGATTCAAGGCCCTCTGCCCTCTTTCCCTTTAGAAACGACAGTCACAGTCTGTTTCTTGTGTGTGTGATGTGGAAATCAAATCGAATCTCTCCTTCCTAATAAATGTTACCACTCTGTACTGGACTCCTTTGCTTTTCGTGGGAAAACGAAGAGGTTAGCAGTCAGACATGTGGGAAAGTGGGGTGTCCCTAGGAGATAGAAGGAAGACAAGTTACAGGTAAGGAAGCCTAGGCAAAGCAGGCCTGCCCCTTTAAGGTAGTGTCCCTCCCCTGCCCCCTCCCTGCAGGTGACCCTTGCCCGCTTGCCTGCCTACCCCCCCACAGCTGGAGCCAAGAAGGCTGTGTCCCCCTTCCTCTGGGCGTCCTTCCAGTCTCCTGCTGTCAGGTAATGCCAAAACCTCGGGCCCCCTGGACTAATTGCCCTAATCAGACTGTGCTCCCCTGATCTTAAGCCAGGTCAGACATCTGCAGGGAGCCCAGATATTTCTTTCCTCTTCCCACCAGGGCTTCCCCTTTCTTGATCATCTATTTCCAGAGCTCTGGCTCTTACTCTGCTGGGACAAGGAGTTGCTAAGAACGCTTTCCTCCCCATGCACCTGGGGTTGCCACTTATCTTCCTCTTCGCCTCTTTTCCAGCTAAGGGACACCCGAATCCCACTTTCCCGGGGATTGTGGGGATGGAGGTTGGAGATGGAGGAAGCCCAGTACCAGATATAAGGTGTGGAGGGTGGGGGTGAGAGTATATGCAGGGAAAGGTTAAAATGGTACAACTGGCTTAGTGGGGTGAGTTATTTAGAAGAAAAGGCCAGGCTCAGGGTTTCCTTAGCCATGTGGCTTTTCCAGGGGCAGAGGGTGGCCCCTCCCTACTCAGGGGCCCCAGCCAAGACTGACCTTTGACCCCCACCCCAGAGACCAGTGAACCATTAACTCCTCTCTGATGTGAACCTTCCCACACTGGCCCCTCCCCTCCCTGACCCCGCCCCAAGGCAGGTGGGCTGGGAGGGGGGCGGCGTTTGTCCATCCCAGCCCTCTATCTGACGTGGCCTCCGTTCCACCAGGGCACCTGGAGGCTGAGCCCCACTCCCCTCCCTGACTCAGGAACCTCTTAGTGTCCACAATAAGGCCTGACCGGGACCTGAGGTGACGACTCTCACACTGCCAATGAGGGTGAGGCCCTGTGGATTGAAGGGGGACAGAGAGGTGAGGCAGGGTTGAGGGGTGGAGTTTGGAGGACAGGATGAGAAGTCAGCTCTGGATCAGGTGAGGGAAGCATTCTGGGTCAAGGAAGGTGTTCTAGAAACTGGAAAACAGAAGGCCTGAGCTGGACAGCAGAGCAGAAGCCCAGGCCCTTTCTCCTTGTTCTTCCAGGGCACAGTCCTCAGGATGTTCCAAGGGGAATAGAAGCCAGAACCAGAGCCTCTAACCCATTGCCCCCAATAATGGGGCCCCCAATGAGTCATCTGCTGGCTGGCCTGTGTGTGTGGGTGGCCTTGGGCTTGGCAGGGGGCTCAGCCCCCAACCTGGGCCCTGCTGAGCAGGAGCAGAACCATTACTTGGCCCAGCTGTTTGGCCTGTATGGGGAGAATGGGACACTGACAGCCGGGGGCCTAGCGCGGCTTCTCCACAGCCTGGGGCTAGGCCGAGTTCAGGGACTTCGCCTAGGACACCATGGACCTCCGGTTGGTCGGGCTATACCCCCAGTTGGAGACAATTCCACATACAGGTACTACTAACCCTTTCTTCCCTTACCCCAAAATGCCACATGCCCACCTCTTCTCACTGCTTGGATCAGTCTCCAGTTGCCAACCTCTAGCTTCCTTAAGTCAGATTTCTGGAATTACAAATGTTTCAAAATCTGACTCCTAGTATTCCTTCAAGGCCCCCTTTGCCTCTACTGCTTTCTAATTCTCTACTCTTCCAGATCCCCGGACCCTCCAATTCTTTGCTCTTAGTCCCAGTGCTCAATGTCTCCAGGCTGACTCGGCTCCCAATTTATAGCATTTTGGCTGCTCTCCCCCCAGCCCCATTTCTCTTACCCTCACACCCCTCATTCCTAGACTCTCCTATAAATTGACAATTCTCAGATCCTTCTAGAATTGACATTCCACGATTTCTGGGTCCCAGGAACTCAAGCTAGTGGCTGGTCTTCCCTTTCCCCCTAAGCACCCTAGGAACCTCAAGGGGAGTTTCTTAAAGAACATGAGTAAGTCTGGCTTGCTATCCCCTCTGCTCCAGATCACAGGACCCTGAGCTGAGTGTGGATGTCTGGGCTGGGCTGCCTCTGGGTCCCTCAGAGTGGGGTGACCCAGAGGAGCCAAAGGCCCCAGCATCGCCCCGTGGGCCAGCCCCCTCTGGCCTGGACCTCTTTCACAGACTTCTGCTGCTGGACCATTCATTGGCTGACCATCTGAATGAGGATGTGAGTCTGTTGATCTCCAGGGTGGGAGTTGGCGGGAGAAGGACTATGGGATTTAGATGGCCTGAAATTGTTTAAAGAGTAATTTAATACAGTTAATTAAAAAAAAAAAAAAACCAATCCAGATGTGATCTTAGGGTATGTTATTCCAAGAGTGAAATACGCTTCTTCTGGGCTCAGCGCACATGAACCCACACCCAAGTCTCCAAGGACAGGTTTAGGGGCCACACTTGGTGGCAAAGCAGAGAATCCAGAGAAGTAGCTGAGGGTAGGATCTGGGGCTGGCTATCTGGAGAGGAAACCTGCAGGGAGTAGATGGCTGTCTTCAGCCAGAAAGGCAGTGAACGTGTTCCATGTACACCAGAGGGCAGCCAAAGCTAACTGTGAAGCAGGCCTGGTGAGGGTGGGCACCCCATCACAGGAAGCACTCAAGCCAAGCCTGGATGAACATGTAACAGGGCTGTTGCGAGGAAGTTGGATGGCATTTCAGATTCTTTCCCTTCTAAGATTCTGCCATGGAGTGCTCTAGTTGTCCAACCAACTCCATCACCAAATCGTTGAAATCATCAGGAGCTTGGGAGGGAGAGAGATGGTGGCAATGTTTACTAGCACCCAACCTGCACTGAATTGAATATTTGCACTGGATTGAATATCCACTAATAATTAACACACACTGATCCTGTGGAGCCACCCCAGTCCCTGATGCACCTGCCAGCATAAGCAAAGGGGATCCTGGAGAGACCCAAGAATCCATACAATGGAAGGACAGACATTAAAGATCACAGTTCTCAGCAATGCCCCAATATATGACCTCTAACTCAACTCCTTTAGTGTCTGAATGGCTCCCAGCTGCTGGTCAACTTTGGCCTGAGCCCTGCTGCTCCTCTGACCCCTCGTCAGTTTGCTCTGCTGTGTCCAGCCCTGCTTTATCAGATTGACAGCCGTGTCTGCATCCAGGCCCCAACCCCAACCCCCTCAGGGGATCTTCTGTCTGGTCAGTGGGTGAGAGTGGGTGGCAGGGTGCCTTGAACCCTGGCAGGGAGTGGGCCCCTGGCCAAGCAAGATGGCTTTGTCGGGGTCCTGCCTCCCTTTGCAGTGTATCTCTGCCCTGCATTTCTTCTGAGGCCCTCCTTCCAACCCTAGCCTAACTTCAGTCCCTGATTCTCCCCAGCCTTGGTTCATAGCGCCCTGGCAGTCCTGCTGCTCAGCCTCCCTGCTCCCCTCTCCCTGCTGCTGCTGCGGCTCCTGGGACCTCGTCTATTACGGCCCCTGCTGGGTTTCCTGGGGGCCCTGGCCGTGGGCACTCTTTGTGGGGATGCACTGCTACACCTGCTGCCACATGTATGTGAAGCCCCTTCCTTGCTCCCTGCCCCGTGATGGGCAGCCTCCACGTACCCAAGGTGTTCCCAGTCACAGGACATCCCCTTCTCATTCCTGTCAGATCCCACGCGCCACTCCCCAACCTCAGCTTCAGCCCACAGCTGCCTTCTAGTAGCGAGTGAAGGCTTGCCACGTCCCACACAGGAGGGGGATGTTGTCGGGTGCGGGGGCTTCTGGGGTCTGCCCTGACCCCCTCTCTGTCAGGCACAAGGAGGGCAGCATGCTGGACCTAACGGACAACCAGAGGAGGACCTGGGACCAGGACTGTCGGTACTCGGAGGTCTCTTCCTGCTCTTTGTGCTGGAGAACGTGCTAGGGCTTTTGCGGCACAGAGGGCTCAGGCCAGTGAGTGATACCCTTTTCTCCTCCTCCTGCCAAAACTAGAGTCCTGGCCAAGAACTGGCCACGCAAGCCAGGAGGTGAGGGTGTGAGGTGTGTTCCTGGTGCGCTGATGTTTTCCTGAGTGTGCAGTCCTGACAACTAACAGAGAGTGGGTAGGGGGCTCCTTAGCATAGACCTGGGACTCCTGGCCAAGCGGCCTCCTCTCCCAAGTTCAAGTCAACAAGAAACAAGGAGTGCCAACCTGGGAAGAGAGCGGAAAAGCCAAAAAATATCTCCAAGTGCCAGAGGTGAACCCAGGTGTTCACTTTCCCAGCTGGTAGCCAGGCCTCTCCTTAGCCCCTGGCTCTGTTGCCTCCTCCACCAGGAGGGATACCCTCCCATTTCAGAGATGCTGCAGGCGAAAAAGAAAGGATTTCAGAGCACCAGCCCTGGACCTGGAGGATGGCAGTGGGATGGCCCTTCAGCCCCTGCAGGCAGCTCCAGGTAACCAGAAGAGAAAATGAAGAGTAGGCTCCCAGCTCCCGGTTCTCACTTGCAGCCACTGGCACTGTTCTTGTCCTTCCTGCAGAGCCAGAAGCTCAGGGCTGCCATGGGGAGCAGGACAGCCAGCCCCCACCAGCCCCAGCTCCTACTGGGCACCAAGGCCACAGTCACGGGCACCAGGGTGGCGGTGATGCCAATATAACGTGGATGGTCCTCCTGGGAGACGGTCTGCACAACCTCACTGATGGGCTGGCCATAGGTGTGATGGGAGGAGAGGGCTACCAGGAAGTGGGGGAGGGAAGGGAATGCAGGCCCCTGTGCCCCTGGGGAGAGCTTTCTCCCAGGCTGACGACCTCCAATCCTGCCAACCCCAGGTGCTGCCTTCTCCGATGGCTTCTCCAGTGGCCTCAGCACCACCCTAGCAGTCTTCTGCCATGAGCTACCCCATGAACTGGGTAGGAATGGCAGAAGTGGGGTGGGGTGGACTCTAGAAAGGAGAGGCCTCCAACGGGTGGAATTTAGGAGGCTGGCAGGTGACAGGGGTGAGGGATGGCCCTGGCTTATTATTCCCTCCCACCCTGTCGTCTCTTCCTCATAGGTGACTTTGCGATGCTGCTCCGAGCAGGGCTGCCCTTTCGGAGGCTGCTGCTGCTGAGTTTGGTGTCTGGAGCCCTGGGACTAGGGGGTGCAGCCCTGGGGGTGGGGCTCAGTTTGGGCCCTGTCCCTCTCACTTCCTGGGTGTTTGGGGTCACTGCTGGGGTCTTCCTCTATGTGGCCCTTGTGGACATGGTGAGAGGTGTGGGGTAGTGCAGGGAAAGCAAGGGAGGCAGGGAGGTGGGTTCAGCGGAGGGGGACGTATGGGTCCTTCCGCCTCCACCACCGGCTACCTGGAAAGGTGCTGGACCCAGGCTGGGTGGAGTCTGAGAAACAAGGGCCTGGAAGAGTTCAGAAGGGTTGCCAGTACTTTCTGACAACTCCTTCTCATGCTTGACGTGGGGTGGTGCAGAGACAATGCCAGGATCCTGATGCTCTTTTTTTCTTTCAGCTACCAGCCCTGCTTCGGCCTCCCGAGCCCCTCCCTACGCTCCATGTGCTACTGCAGGGGTTGGGGCTGCTGCTGGGGGGCAGCCTCATGCTCACCATAGCCATGCTGGAGGAGCAGCTAAGGCCCCTGGTCTCTGATGGCTGATGGGGGCCAGTGGAAAGGCGCCAGGTTGCCCTTCCTTCCCCCCAACCACAGGAATGGAGGCGGGACACAGGGCCAGTAGGAGCAATAGGATTTTAATAAACAGAACCCATCCCAAAGCCATGACTACGACAGTTGTACTTGCACCAAAACAGCATAGAAAACCAGGATGTGGTGGGAGGAGGGCTCAAAGCAGGTCGGGGGAGGACATGAGCAGGGGCCTGGAGGGTGCAAGGTGCATCAATCTGCAGGGAGCGCATTGTGCTTTAGCCCAGGGAGGAGGGGTAGGGTGGGGCAAATGCACCGCCAGGTCCCCACATTTTCCTGCTGCCCTCAGCACCCTGGGGATACAGGCATCTGGGCGGATCTGCCCTTTATTGCTGCCCACCAGCATTAAACACCCCTGACCCCAACGCTAGCACCACAGGTGGATCCGGGGCAGGGAAAAGGGCAAGAACGGGAAAATTGCTTAGAGAAAGATTCAACTAGAATCCAGTGAATTGTGCTCAGTTCTCTTTACTTCCTACAACCGAGTACATGGGTCACAGGGTGGAGGGTGCAACAGGACATGAAACATGCCCCTCGGTGCCCCCAACACACCCCTGCACACAGGATGGTGGTGTCTGCAGCATCACAGGTCATGCAGGGCACAGGGAAGGGGAGGTTCACACACACATAGACGCCCACAGCGGGTACCAGACAGAGAACACCCCTGAATATACACAGCTGTACACAGGGAACCCCCAGGTCCCTAACCCAACCCTCTCCCCTGTCTTGCCGTCCCCCAGGCAGGAGGAACTGTATTGCTTTGAGAGAGCCACCCTGGGGGCCGCTCTGCCAGGCACCCTCCCCTCCCCTCCCCCCCACCCCCATTTTGGCACATCTGCAAGACACACGGCAGCGAGAGTAGGCACCCTCCCTCCCAGGTTTCTGTGGCTTGGAGTTGAGGAAGGGGGTAGGAGACTTTGTCCTCCATCTTTCCCCTAGCCCTTCCCAAACCCCTAGCGAACCCACTCCAGCCAGAACCCACCCCCACCCCCAAAACACACACATACAAAGCTGAGCTATCCAGGAATACAGGGGAACAAGGAGATTGTCCGGGACAGGAGTGGAGGCAGTCAGGGGAGAAAGGACTGGAAGCAGAGACCCCACCCTGGTGTGGGGGTAAGACTGGCACAACAGCTACTTTAGTGCAATTGGAGAGGGTGCCCAGAGTGAGGGATGGAGATGGGAGGGGAAGGCTCTCCCCGATTTCCCTGGGGGCAAAGCCAGGCTCCCCAGGGAAAGGGCCTAGCAGGAGTAAGTGAGGGCCAAGGGCAGATGCTCTCGTCACCCGCCACCCTCTGCCCTCCCAAATGCAGTGACAGTGTCCCCCTCACACCCAAGTGGGCAACAGCAGCCTCGGAGTCAGTACCTTCAAGTAATTCATAGAGCAGACCCTCCCCACCCCAGCTTCCTCCCATCTCTGGGATTTGGTCGCTTCTCTAGGGTTGGGTCGGGAGGAGGGAGTCCCCAAGTCAGGCCCTTCCCTCTCCACCTCCCTCTTCCCAGATCACTGGGCTTGGTCCTCAAAGATTCCTTGCCTCCGCCCTTGGCCAACCTGGGTCAAGGCCACGGAGGGCTGGAGCCACCACGATTAGAGGGGAAGGGGCTGCTTTGCTCCTTATCCCTCCTTCTTAAAAGGTAGGGTTCAAACTAGGCGGGATGGGGCCCCATACTGGTTTGCCCCAGGAGGAGGGCTTCTGGGCTAGGGTCTGTAAGGCTATTTTCCTTTGCGGTGGGAAGGGGAGGTGGGGATGAACACGGGGTGTGGGGAGAGGGGGAGAAACGGTGGAGAGGGAAGGAGGAAGGGGCCTCCCTGCTGGAGCGTAGTCACTGGAGTCATTCAGACGAAGAAACACTCATGTGCACAAGATACAGAGTGTGCCTGTTCCCAGCCCCTCCAGCCAGGCCCCAGCCTCACCTCTCAGGGTCCCTTCCAAGACCCGAGAGGTTTGGGGGATACAGCTGTAGAACCGTTCACTCTGGCCCCACGCCCCCCACCCCACCCCCAGCCCCTTCTCCCCTTCTAAGGTCCAGGGAGTAAGAAGGTGCTCGGGTGGGCAGACAGCGGTGGAAACAGTATTGAGTTTTCCTTTGGTTACATATTGAAGGCAAAGGTGAGCTGGACTTACAGTCAAAACGGATAGGGATGAGGAAGGAAGAGGGGCCATGCCGGGGTTGGAGAGGGAGGTAGACCCTCCTCAGCCCCTCCACCCCAAGGAACACATGTCTAAGTGGGGTGGCAGTCCCTCAGTCTCATCTCTCCCACCCCCCACAGCACCAAACAGAAGGAGAAGCCCCCTCCCCCAGGGGCTGCTCCCCACCCCAACCTGGGCTGTACATTCAGTGGTTTTCAGCAGTCCTATGGCTCAGGGGGCCACAGTGGGGGAGGTGGCCCATCAGTCTCAGTTGGACAGTGGCAGTGACCCGGGTTTGTTGGCCCATCCTGGGACCCACAGTTTGTGCCATTTGTTTTTCTGAAGGATAGTACACAACCCTACCAAAGCCACCGCCCAATCAGAAACATCTCCCCAAAATCAGAAACTAAAAACTGGCTCTTATCTCGCCCTCTGATTCACACACCTGTTTCCCTGTCTCCTATGTAGCCCTCGCTCTGTCTCCTTTGCTGGGACCTGGGGCTGCTCCCAGGGTCCTCACTTAAAATAGGCCTTTTCTCAAAAGTGCTTATTACTTGAAGCAAGTGCTTTAGAGCTGCGGTGGGGAGAGGGGGAGGGGAGAGGGAGGGCAAAGGGAAGGAGGTGTTTCCTCCCCACCCTACCCCCTTAAGATTGGGGGGCATTCTGCCTGTTTTACTTCTCCACACCCGTTTAAGTCAAAGAGGTTTTAAAAAAAAAAAATCTTAACATTAAAATAAATATGCAGTCGCCATGAGAATGGTCAAAACGCTTCAAAAAACACTAGGGGCTGGGGAGCCCAGGGTGGGGTGTGGGATTTCCTTTGGCATAAGGAGAGGAGGCTGCTCATCCTCCACGCCTCCTCATAGCCACATGAGGAGAGGCAGAGGACTCCCCACAACCTGCCCCAGCACTGCTGACCGTGTGCTGAAGGGGCAGCAGGGGGACAGGCAGCCACCAGAAATCTCATCTAGCAAAACAATGGGGCTCCTGACAAATACTCAGAATCTTCCTGTCATTGCCAAACATTGATAAAGGAGAACACGACTGATACCCCAAGAGTCTTCTCTGGAGAATCCATCTCTCTGCTCCCCCTGCCCCCCCCCCCTCCCCGTCACCTAATTCCCAGCACCAAAATGAGAGGGAGGGGGTGGAATGGGAAGATTTCAGGAGAGACAGTTAAAGTTAGGGGCAAGCTTTGCAGAACCAGCGGGGGGGGCGGGGGGGGGCTGCAGCCCTTAAGAGAGGTCACATTGATTGTCGTATAGGGGAGGGCAGGGTATGAAGGGAGGTGGGCAAGAGGGGCATCGCAAGGCCCTTTGGCTTTGAAAACAAAAATAAAAACTAAAAGCTGCACAATCCTTCTTACCAATAATGGTCATTTGGAAGCTTTGAAATGGTTTAGGAACTGAGGGTTAGGGAAAGCAAGACACAGACAGAGGGGATAAAAAGAGACCATGACAAAAAAAAGCCAAAAAACAAACAAACAAACAAAAAAACAAAAAGGACTTGGACAAACACCCCAGGCTTCAGGGAACCAGCATGAGGTATGGTTAAGGGTATCTGTTAGCGAGGCAGGGGTCCCTGGGATACCCCCTCCCCCTTCAGCCCACCCTTGGCAAGGGTGGCAAGACTTGCAGGAAAAACAACTGAAAAGTGGGTGAGGTTGTGAACAAAGCAAGCGTGAGGGGGCGTAGGAGGGGAGGAGACTGAGGAATCCCCCGGAGGAGACCCTGTACTGTGTAAACAAAGCCTGTCCAGTTCTCAGGGGACAATACTGATGGCAGCCAAACTGGGCAAGGATGCACTGTGGGGGTGGAGGGGGCATGACCTCTATTCAAGTTCTGTGTCTTGGCCCCTGGCTGAGGTATTGAGTGTGAGGAAGGGAACACTGGGCTATGGGAGCGGGTCCAACTGTCCAGGAGGCTTAGCTGGGAGATGGATGGACAGGGCGTTTGAAGGGACCAGGGCCAAATTCAATGCTACATTTAGAGAGAAAACTGCCCCCTCCTCACTCTGGCCCAGTTTGGCTTTTGGGGTGCGACTTTTAGGAATCTTCTCAGTGCAGCCCCTAGCTCAATCCCATGTTTCCCCGCTGCTGGGAGGGCAGGGACCAAGCCTCAGTGTGTATTCGTCACTACCTAGATCAGAGCTTCATCCTCACACCAGAGGGGAAGCCTGGGTCCCGAGTAGCCACGGTCCCTAGTCTGCCCTGCCCCTCCCACCATCTTTGGCTTCAGATCAGGAGTGACTGGGGGCGGTGGGTACTCTTGGACATAACGGAAGGTGGGGGTACAGAGGAACTATGGGTTTGGGGGGCACAGGAGGAAGAATATTGTCCTTCCCTCCCCACACATGCAAACACATGCCTGAAACACACAGGACATTCTAGGGCTGTGGTCTTGAAATGGGCAGGAAATTAATTTGTTTCTTCCCCTAAAGGATAAAATGCTTACTTAAAAATTCATGACAAGCCTCAAAGTTAAGGGAGAGGGGAGCCAGGGAGGGAATGGCCACAGGCTCTGCCCTCCCAAAAGAAGTTAAAAGAAAGAAGCAAGGTTAAAGTGCGTGGTTAGGGGACCAGGCCAGGAGTGGAAGGGAATCAGGGAGGAGCAGGCTGTGGGGGCAGAACCAGCCCTTGATTTGCATATGAGGAGCCAGGGGAGAGTGCAGGATTGGGGCCCAGGTACAGTAGTTGCTGCTTCAAGTGTTTTGCATTTGAACTTTAGGGGTGATGGGGTACAGAAGTGGGGGAAAAGCTCCAGGCCCCAGTGCTAAATACCCTCCCCCCTCATCCACTAGCTGCCCCTGAAGGGGGAGGGGGACACCCCCAGAGTGCTCACACAGTACCAGAAATTAAGGCTTCTCACTGCTGCGGGGATGGAGGGGCCAGCCGAGCAGGGAGGCAGTGATGGGTATGGAAGAAGAGAAGGGATCTGCCTGGCAGTAGGGGCAGGGGCGGGGGGACACAAAGAAGAGAAACAGAGGAAAGGGTGGGGGGAGTTGGCAGCAGAAAGGGGGAACTGAGAGATGGGGTAAAAGAGAGGGTAGCCAGGCATTTAGCAATCATTTGGGGACACTTGGCAGAAGGGGTTGCCCTGGGGGTGCCAAGGGCCTGGGGTGCTCCCTGTTGGTCCCAGACCCTTGCCAGGCCAGGATGGTGTGGCAAAGGGGTGAGCAGCTGCTCCCCAGTGCATTTTCCCCCCTCTGTCCCCCCCCACCCAGTCGTGTTCTCCTTTAAAGTGCCCTAAATGTATAGACTTTTTCTAAATAAATAGAATAAGATATCAAGCCACCGGCAGGGGGAGGGACACTGATGGGGGGCTACTCCGAATAGCAGCCATCTAACCCAATGGCGCCGTGCCGCTCCTGACTGTAGGGGCAGGAGGCCCCATGGGGCAGGGCGCCGCAGCCACCCACCGTCTTGGCTGCTGCGATGCCGCAGTTCTTGAGCAGGCTGAAGCTGAAAGGACTGACGGCGTCCTTGGGTGGGAAAGGCTTCATGGTGGAGAGGATCAAGGCCAGGCAGTCTGCCACATCTTTGTTGGGGGCGCAGGCCAGCGCTGGGGTGTGACCTGCAGGGTGGAGGGGGAAAATTGAGGCACAGGGTCCTGTACCCCCGGGGCCCCATCCACCCTCTGCCAGGCCCTGAGCTCTCATCTGTGGAGGGTAGCCAAGGTGGGCAAGAGCCCAGCACAATCAGAATTCAACGGCTACGAGGGCCCAGGGGCACCGACAGGCAGACTGTCAAAGCGTGGGGTAAAGGGTGGAGTGCGGGGGACAGAAGTCTGGGAGACTGAGGTGTGTGGAAGGTCTTCCTGAGGACCCTGCTGGCTCCACCTAGTTCCATCAGATTCCCCTCAGAAATGCTAGCGTATTGGTATTGGGTCCCTGCTCTGAAGAGTTCCCCTGGGAAAAAAACCCAGTTTATAGCAAAGTTAAGAAGTCACCTCCTGAAGAATGTCCCTGACCCCAAACCCAGGAGAGGCGGGGGGCTCTGGACCCCACCCACCTTCTTCATCCACAGCCAGCACTGTGGCCCCACGACTTAGCAGGGCCTGCACCACAGAAGCTAGACCATTCCGGGCAGCAATGTGGAGTGGCCTTGGAAGAAAGGAAAAAAAGAACGAGAAATCAGTGAGATCCAAGCTGCCTTTTCACACCCAGCCAGAGTAGCAAGACTGCTAACAGATACTGTGAGCTCTAGAGAGCCCCCAGAATGCATGTGGCTCTTTCTTACCCATCTGCCTCCCCTAGCCAGGCTCCCCCTTCCCCGGAAACTCACATTTGCAGCGCACTGTTGGTAGCATTGATAAGGCCAAGGTCTTGGGTTTCTGCCAGGATCATGAGGGCACATTTCTCATGGCCCTGAGGAAGAAGAACAGAGATGGAGTGGAGGCAGACAGGCTATAGAGCAGGAGTTGGGAAGGGTTCAGGGGACAAAAAGCTATACAGGCTGGACAATCCTGATTGCCACTCCAGTCCTCTCTCCAACTGGGCAGACCCACCCCCTTCATCAAGCCCACCCCCTTACGTGGCCCTCACCACCACCAATCCAGGCCACACCTTGCTACAAGCCAAGTGGAGGGCAGTGTTCTTGTTCTCATCCAGCACAGTAAGGTCTGCCTTCCCTCGATACAGCAGAAATTCTGCAAGAGAAAGGGGGCAAAGGAGTGATGCCTTCCCTCCAGAGCAGCAGCCCTCATGGCTCCCGGCCCTCCCATCTGCATATACTTTGCATCCCATCTGCAGAGGAGGGAAATAACCAAATACATGACTCCTGTTTCCTGAGCCCCACAGGCAGGGCTGCCCCATCTTGCAGAAACCCAAGGGGGAGCTCCTCCCTTCCACACGTGGCCCCTACACACCCACAGCAGCGGTCTGGCCGTTCTCGGCCGCCGTCATGAGCGCAGTGCGGCCAGTGTGGTCAGTGGCGTTCACCTCGGCTTGATGCTGCAGTAGCATCCGGAGCCCAGATACATTGTCCGCGAAGGCAGCGGCGTGAAGAGGGGTCCTGCAGTGTGGGGGTCAGGGCAGAATGAGAACAGAGGGCTCATTCACCTGAGCAGAAAAAGGAGGCCAGAGGTGACCGGGGCTTCTCCCTAAGCCTTGTACCACTCACCGTCCTTTGGCATCTCGGCTGTTCACAATCTTGGCACCCAGAGCTCCCAGCAGCATCTCTGTGGTGCTGTCCTGGTTATTAATTCTGGGGGGGAAAGGAAGGGTCAACAGGAAGGACAAGAAAAATGGAATGCCTTTCCTAAGCCCAGGTCACAGAACCTCAAGTGGGGCTGAGGCACAGGAAGGGACTTACACTGCACAGTGCAAAGGAGTGAAGGGGTTTCCCTCCAGGTATGAAAACGGGCTGTGTTCAAGTAACAACTCCAGACAATCTTCATGTCCTGAGCAGGAGAAAGGAAGAGCCGTGGGGGTGGAGAGAGATGACAAGGTTCCCAACATCTGTCCTGTGCCATCTCTGGGACACTCCATTCCACTTCCAGATCAAGATTAACCCACATCCCTCCCTCAATCCACGGGTCTGTGGTCTCTGTTCTGGTCTGTCCTCCCCCATATCACACCCCTATTCTTATGCTGCCAGGGCCCCAGGCCCGCACCAGTGTAGGAGGCCCAGTGCATGGGCGAGTATCCACTGTAGTCCACGCCAGCATCCAGGGGGTCTGTGGAAAGGGCGGCCTGCAACAGCGTCCGCAGCACTGCAGTGTGGCCGCAGGCTGAGGCCAGATGGATGGGGGTGCGGCCCTTGAAGTCTCGGCACAGCACAAATGCATCGTGGTCCAGCAGGGCAGCCAGGCAGTCCTCACAGCCAGTCACTGCCTGTGGATGACATGATGGTGTGAGGGAGGGTGAAGGGCCACTCCCTTTCAAACAGCCAGTCACTGGAGCTGGCCCAGGCATAAGAACCACTTCCAGGGCTCCGATCGTTATTTTCACAGCAACCACTCTAAATGTTAGGACTCCTTCCTTCCTCCATTCTCTCTATTCCAACAGACAACCAGAATGGCAAGAGTGAATTTGGGCACTCTGGAGTAGTGGGGGGACAAATTGCAAGGTAACTGCAATTGACTAAGGGATCAAAGAGTCCCCTGGGATGAAGAGGAGACGGCTTTGGGACAGGTGATCACGGAGGACTGGGACAGTGGCATCATTATCCAGTGGGCCAGGACCAGAGTCTGGGTATCCTGGAACAGAGTGTGAGTAGTGAGCATGTGGCTGTATGAGATTACAAAGCAAGGGAATCAGAGAGATCAGCTACACATGTCAGGTACTCATCCTGGAGCAAATGTAGTAAGACCCAATAAGACCCTGGGCACAAAATCCTGGCCCACCTGCTAGGCAATCTGCTATCCTACTTCTGATGGGTCCTGTGCTCCCATGTCCAGGCCTGTCTGTGAGCAGCCCCACCCAGGAGGTCACTCACCCCACGGTGGAGGGCGGTGCGGCCCCGGAGGTCAGCAGCATCAGCTGTGGATCCTTTCTCTAGCAGCAGATGGACACAATCCACGTGGCCATTCATGATGGCCAGCATCAGTGGGGTTCTACAGAGGGTGGGAGACAGATGAGGGCCAGCAGGGACAGGAAAACCCGCATCCTACCCCTGGCCCACACTCACTGTCCATAGGCATCCATGACATCAGTGATGTCGGCGCGTTCCCCACTGTCGATCAGCAAGTGCAGGGAGTCAGTGTGGCCAGAGGCAGCTAAGAGAAAAGGCCTGTGTCAGGGCATGGTCAAGGGGAAGGAGGCAGCCAGGTCAAGCATTAAGGACTCCAGGGTGGAGATCATGGAAGGACCTGGGGCAGGCTGAAGTCTTGGGGGATAGGAAGCCACGAATCAGGACTTGAAGTTCTCCTCACCCTGCTCCACTCCCAACCCTAATCACATTCGGGAGGGATCTGGGACCAGTCTCCAAGGCCTGGTGTGGCAAGGGGAGGTACCAGCAGCCTTAAGGGGGTACTAACCAGCAGCGTGCAGGGGTGTCCACTTGCGTTTGCGCTCCTTGATGAGAGCAGAGGCGCCGTGGGCCGTAAGCACCTCCACACACTCAGTAGAGCCTCGCTCAGTGGCCAGGAAGAGCGCGGTCCGGCCCTTGTGGTCCCTTACATCCAGATTCACCAGCGTCTCAGCCAGTGTCTTCAGGGCTTCACAGTGACCGTTGTAGGCCTGGAGGGGGGCAGGTAACCAATGGAAACAGCTTGGGACACTGCCCTCACTCTGCTCTTGGGCCCCCTGGGGAAACTCCAGGCAGCAGTCCTCCCCATGAGCTCCCTGGGTCCCTCAGACTCTTCACCTACACTACACCCAACCCTGGGCACTGCCTGCCTGCCATGTCCCCCCAAGAAAGCAGAAGCCAGGATAGATTCACAAAGGCTTGCACCTGTTTGTGGACCAAAGGGCAGGCAGGAACAAGGAAGGCAAGAGGAAAAGACCTGGGACTCACAGCTAAGTGCAAAGGGCTAACTGGAATGGTGCTCTCCACATCCTCCAGGCAGTTAAAGGACATTTCTAAGAGCTGCAACGGACAGAAGAGTAGGCGCTGAGGTTCTCAAACTCCCAAAATGTTATCCCCTGTCCCCTACCCACAGTAATGCCCTACACCCCTGGACCTAGAGACCATATCTGAGTCAACCACCCCTCGGTTTCAGAATTCACAGACACAAAGGTGACTATGAGCCCTGCCCCTGCTTCCTCTCCTCCAGGCCAGATCCCACACGTACCAGTTCGAGGTTCTGTCTGTTGCCGTAGGCGGCTGCATAGTGCACAGCTGTGTAGCCCTGCCTGTCCCGCAGGGAGGGGTCTGCACCGTTATCCAGTAAGAACTCCAGACAGCTGGGGGGCAGGGGTAGACTGTGAGGCAGGGACAGGCCCAGCTGGTGAGGGCCCAGGTGCGGGCAAAGCAGAGGAGAGGTGCAAGGGAGCTCCTCCAGGCCTAGCTGGCCAACACCCATCCGCTGCTCTAGGAAGGCTAACTCCTGCCTGTTCGACCCTTCCACTTGAGACCCACCACTTCCTTCACATCAGCTCTGAACTACTCTGGCTCCAATGCCTTTCTTTATCCTTGGAACGCTCTCCTAGAGAACCTAGAGCATAATTATGTTATCAACCTGCCAATCGACACTTCCCCCTACCTCCAGACATGCTGACCCCTTGCCTTGAATGCCTTCTCCTTCCAGCCCATCTGAAGAAGAAGTCCTACTCATTCAAACTCGGTCCCAGCATCCTCTCCTCTGTGAGGCCTTCCCTAACCTTCCCAGTGAGGTGCCTCTTCCTCTGTACTCCCTTGGTACCCTTCTCATAGCGTAGTACGACTAGCAGTAATAATAATCTAGTATTTAGCACTTACTATGTGTCAAGCACTATTCTAAGCACTTCATGTGTATGAAATCATTTAATCCTCATAATGACCCCACAAGGCAGCTACTACTCTTATTCCTTATGATGGTTAAGGAAACAGAGGCACAGAGAGGTTAAGTTGTCAAAGCTTGGATTTTCTTGGATTGTAGGTATCCTTTTTTAAAAAAAAAAGTTTTATTTCACAACACTTTTAGATTTATAGACAAACTGTGAACATAGGACACAGTCCCCATTTACTCTGCATCATCTTCTCTATCATTAACATTCTACATTAGAAAGCGTAAGTGCCCTTTCATTTATCTTTCCCAACAGATCATTAGCTTTCAAAGGCAGAAATTTGGGGTAATTTGTCTTTTATCCTTAGCATCTAGCACAGTACTTGGTACCTAATAAGTAAATCCTCACTTAAATCTTGTGGAATAAATAAAAGGCTTTGTGCGTTAAGTTTTTCTGATTGTCTCAAGAAGACCATCCGTTCCCTGAGGGAAGGAACTGTGTCTCATACTTTTGTTTTCACCCACAATGCTTAGTCCAGGATTAAGCTCAGATCACTCCCAATACACTGCTGGCTGGCCAACAGCAAGCAGCAGAAATGAGGTGGCAGGACGGGGAGTGGATGGGAGAATCACGGGACCAGAGCTGGCACTGCTGGGAAAGTACATCCCAGGGGTCTTCTCGGCTACTCACAAGAAGGCCTCCTTCCTGCGGGACTCCTTCAGTGGCTCGTCCTCTTCAGCATCGTGGCTGGACGATGAGTGGGGTTCCGCTCTGGAGGACAGAGAGTGAAGTCAGGGGAGGCTGACGGAGGTGAACAGGGCTGAGAAGGCCAAAGTGAGAGTCTCACCTCCTGTAGGTGTCAGAGGCGGCAGCGTAGTGGAGGGGAGAACAGCCTTTACAGTCGGCCTCGTTGACACCCGCCCCAGCAGTCACCAGTGTGACTGCACACTGGTAGCTGCCATTGGCGGCTGCATAGTGCAGTGGGGTCCTGAGGAGAAAAGAATGAATAAAAGAATCAAGGGCAGACCCAAATGCAACCACACGAGCAGCCTAAAGCTGCTCTGCAATACTCTCCTCACTTAGTCTCCAAGTTGCTACCACTCCCTCCACCATTTATCTCTCTTTTAGGACACTCCCCGTGCCTACTGCTGCATATCGACACACCTTCCAAATTTGTCTCTCCTCCTCAAGTCAGCTCCACTGCTCAACAGCAAATTAAGACATTCAACATTCCTAAAAGGAAGGAGGATGAGGGTTAAGAGAATGAGAGCCTCAAAGAGGAGCCACAGGCACAGGGAGGGGCTAAGGAAGGATGGCACTGGACAGCCCTTTCTGCTGTGATTGCTCTCACTGTGACAGGCAGAGAGACCTGGGCAGCAGAGAAGGGTCCAGACCCTTGCCCAGATCTCTTCTTAGCACCTGGAAGTGAGAGAACGTACCCTCCAGAAGCAGCAGCATGAAGACAGGTGCGGCCAAGGTTGTCAGGCGTATTGATGTCAAACCCAGCTGAAAGCACATGCTCGTTGCTGAGTGAAGATACAATGCTGTACAGCTGACCTGCAGGGCCAGAACAGCACAGATCCCATCTGAGGGCACTGAACAGAGTGGGAAAAGGCCTCTACTCACCCACCCGTACCCAACCCCCCAACCAGTCAGCACATACCTGAGGAAAGAAGCTTACGACAACAGTCAGAGAATCCAAAGAGAACAGCTAAATGCAGAGGGAACATGTCGTGAATGCCGCGCCTGGAGAGAAGTTGAGGGACTCAGTCCTTAAGTCAAGGAGGGACCAGTTGCAGACTTCTTTTCTGTGGCCCCCCACCAGCCTAGGAGACAGTGAGGTTCCACAAGCTTCCCTTTTGCAAGCTTCTTTGTGCCTCCACGTTTGATGTGAGCAGACACTACAGATCTAAGGGGCCCTGACTCACCGGGCGGTATCCGCGCCATTGGTCATGAGGGTGCTGATGAGTAGCTCGTGTCCGTAGCGAGCAGCCACGTGCAGTGGCGTGTTCCCAAATTTGTCAGCACAATCAATCTCGCTGCCTGTGAGGGGATGCACACACACAAACTCAGGCAGACCTGAGGCTCCAGACCACTCATACCAGTCAGCTACCACACAAGTGCTCGTTATGTGCCACATCCCAAGCTAAGCATTCCACATGTGTTATCTTGTCTGTAAGCCTCAGGGGATGGGGCATGCAGACCTGGGCCATTTCTACAGGTGCCTTGCTCAGAGCTCTCAGTGCCGATCCTGACTGGAAGATATGGGAGGTAGACTAAGGAAAGAAAAGGGTTTCTAGGGATGAGTTCTCCGGGGGGAGGGATGAGAAGGGAGCACAAAGTCTCCCAAGTCCATACCATTCTGGATGAGGATCTGGGAGCGGGTGAAACGACCATGGATGGCAGCCATGTGCAGAGGACTTTTCCCTTCCTTGCTCTGTGAAAACATGGCAATTTTTTTTTCAGTGCAAAGCACAGGGAATACCCTATTCCCCCCTTTGAAAGGACACATCTCTGAGGACGGAGTGGTCATATGGACATCTGCTCAGCCCACACTCTCCTGGGTCCCTGACAAGGTCTGATCAACCCAGGAGGCAAGTGGACAATTCCCCAGACTTATGCAGAGGGGAAGATATGGTCAGGACCTCCAGAGCTAGGTTGCAGCCTCATCCCTTCAGGCACCTGGTAATTGACATCAGCCCCGTTATTGACCAACAGCTCCAAGCAGAGAGCGCCATTGGTAGAGACTGCAGCCACATGCAGCGGCGTGAAGCCCTTGTCATTCGGCTGGTTGACATTGGCTCCTGCATTCACCAGCTCAATAGCCACAGCATCCTGGCCCAGGTAGCAGGCGATGTGCAAAGCTGTGTTTCCAAAAGCATTGGGCTCATCGATCTGGATTTTCAGGGGTACAAGTAAAGGGATAGGGAGGTATCAGTTTAAACAAAGTGGAAGCTGGCATAGATAACCTAGAAAATCCCAGGATCCCAACAACTGCCTGAGATACCTCGTGTTCCTGACTCGATAGACTGAGGGCACTATTACTTACGGTAAGCATTATTCACCATATCTCACCATATCCTGCCCACCTCCCAAAACCACTCCAACAATCCCAGCACCCTCATGTCTCCATACACAGACTCTGACCTCCAACTCCATGCCCTTAGTGCCCAGCCCCAGTGCTCAGCACCCTGACCTCAGCCCCCATCCGGAGCAGGTACTTCACCACTTCAATCTGGCCACTGGCAGCAGCTGTGTGGAGAAGCCCATAGCCCTTGCGGTCCTTGCAGCTGAGGTCCGCTCCCCGTGCCACCAGCAGTTTCAGGACCTCCAGATGCCCTAGGAAGAGAGAAGAAGCTCTCAAGGGGGTGGAGGGTGAGCTAAGACCCTGGGCGTCTCTCTCCAAAGGCTGCAATCCCCATCCCTACCTTGGGAAATCCTAAATGTCAAATTCCTATTCTTCCCATGAACCCTTTCTCACCTAGAAAAGCTGCCCAGTGCAGAGGCTGCCGCTCCTTTTTATCACAAACATTCAGGCTGGCTCCCTTGTTCAGGAGCAGGTTCACCGTCTGTATCAGAATATGAAACACACCTGTTCATGCTTTCAGTGTACCTAAGGGCAGGTACCTAAGCCAGGTTCATGCTTTAAATGTACCTAAGGGCAGAAGCCTCAGCTCCTGAAAAGGCTGAGGCACCCAAATGTCTTTGTTCTTGAACAGAACAATCTGGAGAACTAGAAGGAACAGAGAAAGCAGAGACTAAGAAGGAGATCCCAGAGAGATTTGGAAGTTTGAGGGAAACTCAAGGGAGTGTTTTCATTTGATTTGGTGGTTCTTCTTTTTTTTTAATGTGTATTTATTTAGTTTGAGAGTGAGAAAAAGAGAGAGAGCGCACATGCACAAGCAGGGGAGGGACAGAGAGAGAATCCCAAGCAGGCTCCATGCTGTCAGTGCAGAGCCCAATGTGGCCAGAGCCCATAGTCACAAGCCGTAAGATCATGACCTGAGCTGAAATCAAGGGTTGAATGCTTAACCGACTGAGCCACTTGGGCACCCCATGAGCTGGTGGTTCTTAAATTCTTTTGAATAATCTTCAAAAACATTTTGAAAGACATGGACACTCGCTTCAGAAAAAGGCATGTATGCAAACATTTTCCATGCAACTTCAGAGTTTATCACCCTCTTGAAGACCAAGTCAAGAATTTCAATCTAACCCGACCATTCGTTTGGTGCTTGAGCCCAAGTGTTTATATAGTCATCCAGGCTGCTTTTCCTCAGACCTGATGACCCAGAAGCAGAGGAAGATGAGTGGGAAGGGAAGCAAAGACAAAGGGAAGGCACTAGACCAGGCACAGATTAGAGCAGTCCTCACCTCTAGATGCCCACTATGCACTGCATGATGCAGGGCACTGCGCCCGCTCCTGTCAGCCACATTGAGGCTGCTCAACAGGGGTGCCAGAGCCTCAGCACACTTCGTGGCCCGGTTGGCGGCAGCCACATGCAATGGTGTCTGCCACAGCTTGTCCCGGGCATTCACATCTGCTGAATGTGCCAGCAGCAATCCCAGCACCTTCTGTTAAGGAGCAGGGGATAAGAAAGAAAATACAGGGGGAGCAGGAGGTAAAACAATAGTGGAGGGAAGAATAGGTCAGCCTGGCACATGTGGCCCCATCCCCCCAGCACAGAGTGTCTTCTCATTTTTCCAACATACGTAGCCTCTCAATACCTACTTCCCATCTTCTGGATCTTTCTAGAACTTAAAATTTTCCCTACCTTGCTGAGGAAAAAATACCCCTTCCTTTTCCTCAAGTCACCTGGTATCGCTCCCCAACTCAGACCCTGATCAACCATATAGCTACTACCAAGCAAATCCACAAAAGTAGAGGATGCCAATCCTTCACTATTTCTAGGAAAAATACACACTCCTGCCTTAATGCCTCGAATACCCTCCTCCAGTCCTTCCATAGTCACCAAAATCATTTCCGTTACCTCAGTAAGCAAACAGATACTGGTTCCTCTCCAAAACCCAGGCTAAAATGTCCCTCCTAATCACAACACACCCTATTCCTGTTGGCCTTAGTCCCTCCCCCTGGTGGATGGAGCCAGGGAAGTGACCATCAAACCAAGAGGGAGGTCTCCTTTTCCTCTTGCTCTTCAAGGTTGATGGACCCAATTGATGAGGCAAGTTTGACCCCTGTGCTGTCAACTTTGATGCTGCTTGAGAGGCAGGAAGGCAACACATCACTACCCCCAATCCCTCCATCACAAGGTAAGAAATCTCAGTGCCCAGAGGGGGATCAGACTCCAAGGTGGCCCCCCAGGGAAGGATGAGTCACTCAGGCCTGGCAGCAGGGCCCCCTGCAGTCTGCCAGCCCAGTGTTAAGCTCTCCCCTGACGTCACATCAGCTGGCAACATTCAGCCCCCCCTTACCAGCCAGTTCTAGGGGTAGGAGGGAGGGGCCAAGGTCTAGTATCCTGACCTAGGGGTAGATCAGCTTGTAGGGCAGAGAGCTGAGGCTCTCCAATCCTTAACTTCCACCTTTAACCAACTCATCCTCTTTTGGAAGGGTGAAAGGACATAGGATGCCAATACCTCATTTCGGGAAGCAGCAGCACGATGAAGAGGGGTCAGCCACAGTGTGTCCTTAGCATTGACATTAGCACCTATGGGGATATAATTTCCTCTTTTGGTGGGAGGTAGAGAGCAAGTGGGGAAGGAAGCCAGTAATCAGGCCAGGGGATATGGATAGAGATGAAGCCTCTCCCAGACCAAACACCAGAGAACAATTCTTAGATACAAAAAAAAAAAAAA